GGAGGCAAGGAATGAGGAATAAGGACAGTGAGAAGATCATGAGGATGGAAAATTTTGCGCTGGGTAAGAGATAGTAGATGTACATGAAGATGTATAGGAATGGGTGGGTGGTATGACACGCCTACCCAACGCTGCGGCGTTACCTCGGCCAGAGGTTGCTTTTGCCCTGGTAAATAATGCAAGCCGGGGTAATGGCGCTATCTCTGCGCATCTTTTATTAAACGTCCGCTTCGCTACCTCCATTGCCTCTCGTACACGCTTGGAAAAAAGTTTGCCTCTTCCGCAAAAGCTCCAACCTGGGGTGGTTTGCCAAGGCGAATTTTTCCATTTTCTTCTGTGTTTTTCGTTATAACCGTTCATATGTATAACAATCTTGAAGCTGAATGACTGCTCACTTTTTCGATGAACATCCGGGGTTGTGAGGTCTTCTTCAACATTGGCATCTGGCGAGTTAAGATTGTTCATTGGGATGGGAATGAGATTATCGGAGTTGTCGATAAACCCCCCAATCACTTCAAGTTGTTTCATACATTTTGAATTTATGTAGTGCCCTCAGAGAATAATTCAGGAAGAAGTTGAAATTCGATATTTTGTTAACCATAAGAAAAGAAAAATTAATCTGAAACTGGTGAAATCCCCTGGCACTGCCCCAATAACCCGTAAAAATGTCAAACGTCCACAATAAATGACTACTTCAATCATGACATTCGATTCCCAATCAATAAAAAAAAACCCCATAAAACCCTCACATCGGAATCGGTAATTGGGTCTAGTTGAACGTACATAAACTCTCATTCAATCATCCCGGTTTTAACCCAATCGTCCGTTGAGAGAGCACCGAGAGTGTCCAGAGAATAGTGGGAGAGTATTTCACAGAGAGAGAGAGAGAGAGAGTTAGTGTGGGATTCTACACAACGGCGATTAGCATTATTATTAGAGACCACCACTGATTCGCGGTACGTCGTCGTGGTCGTTGTCACCCACACAGCAAAATTCATCCCATGAAACTCCCTCCCAAGTCCTCCCAACTCCACCCGCCATTGCCCCCCATCGCCCCCCCCGAGCCCCACCAAAACCGCGCAGGTCTTGACAACCGTCACACACGCGCGCGCAGGTACATGTCCATAAATATTGTGCAGGTATAGAACTCTGAAATTCATAGTAAAGTGGTGTGCAACACTGTCCCACTGGTGAGAGGGAGACAAGAGGGCACAGAAGGATATGCAGCGAACGAGAGGGATGAAGAGAGGGTGGGAGTGAGCCCCTCGTTCCTCCTGAACGATTGAACCTCCAACCAGTTGGTCCAGGCGATGAGGAGAGTGGGGCCCGGGGGGGATGAGGGGGGGTTGAAAGCAGTGAAATCAATGCCACTGTTTGCACTGTTGAGGTTGAACCAAATTCCTGCTCCCCGGCGCTACGTAAACCCCCACCCTTTCTCATTCTTTCCCGCGGGTGTGTCCACACGTGCGTGTATGTATGTCGATAATAATACCTTAGGGTGGGCCTTTTTTTTTACTCCCTCCAATCAAAACACCAACCCCTCAATTATAATCGAATCGGATATCCACACAGCGTAAACAGGCTGTTTTATATATTGATATTATAACTGTTATCTTCTCGATTGGAAGTGAATGGCCACGTGATGGTGGTATTCTTCGGGGATTAGCCGAGTTTGCCGTATCGAGTGGTCTCATCGAGTTGACTGATATTAGTTAGGGGTGGAAGGGGGTTGCTCCAAGTGAAACGAAGATGGAGTGAAGAGGCGGTGGAATTGAGATAACGATGAGGACTATGGGGTAGTCGATCGATCGATTGTCCTTTTGTTCTGGTAGTCTATATGTATTTGCGATATCCGATTTAACTACAGGTCCCTTTTATCAGGTGGGCGGGGGACGAGGGGGATGTCTAGGAGACTGAACGGGGATTCATTCTCCCGGGGTCTATCGGCTCCTTTTTAGTAAGAGGTGGCTTTATCCTTTGGTTTAAGCTAAAGTGCAGTGCGAGGCTTGCGCCTGTCCCACGTGAATATGCGTGTGGGTGTCACGTACGTGTGTGCTACATTCTCGGGTATTTGGCGTTCTCATCCCCCTCTTGGGGGGGTTTTTTAGGCTGTGGGGGGGTCGATCTAAAAGGACAAGAGTGCGACAGCTATTGAGCCATTACATGCTCAAGTGGGTTGGGTACAGTGGCGCACTCTGTGTGGAACATAATCTAGGTTCTTAAATCGGGGATTCCCGGACGAATTGAATGAGTGAGTCGCGATAGATCGAATTGTTATTGAATTCAGGGACCCGTGACTTCTTCGCGATTTTTGTTATAGGTCTGGCTGGTTCATTGGCAGACCGTAGAGGAAATTTGAATTGCTGGAAGATGCCACTTTGCCAGTTTAATTTTCTTAATCACTTCTGCAATGGACAAGTCAAATTGAGTTCCCTCATTTTTATCGAATATTTTTCTCTGTGTGGTTGGCTTTCTCGATTTTTTAAATTAGGAATCAGAGTGATTTAATTGGCAGGGGTTAAGGGAAAAAATTTAAAAATTAAAAAGAAGAAAATGAAGGAATGGTAGCGGGAAAGTTACGCCACTGAAATAGTCACGGTAAGAGAGAAGGGATGTGTGCGAGAGCACCACGAGCTTGGTTATTTCACGGTCCACTTGTTCTACTCACACCACCCCTACCGGTTAGGCGACATTCGCCCCGTTCCCCTCTCAAATCCATCCCTAAGAATTAATTCGAGAGAATCGTCCAGCGACCAACCGACACAGCCCACCTACTCCATGATCCTCTTCTTTTATACCTTCCCATTGTCTCTTTTTTTTTATCTTCCAAGCCTCTGTCAATTCAACTTCTCGTGACTCTTGCTCCGATAACGCGCTCGGTTTGGCTGGTGTATATAAAAATGAGGGTTGGAGGGGGGTTTCAGAGGGAGGGGTGAAGCTGATAAAGCAGAGGCCAAGTTAGAGGGGCTAATCTCCTTGACGGTGGGATTCTTGGGAGGAAAGAACAGAAGGAACGTAAAAAGGTGGATCATTGCGCGAATCTGAGGGGTTTTTTTAAGGGAAAGAAAGAATGGAGAGGAAGAAAAGGTCTCGGATTGCCTTCGGGGTTGCAAGGACTTGAGATTGAGTGGGGGAGGGCTTGTCACTCGGTGATTTTCCTTGGACGCAACTTCTGTGTCTTTGTTGAGGGTAACGGGAATTTGAGTGATGGTTGTTTCAACGCTCCGGGGTAATCAGGTTTTGAGATTTGATACTGTCTGGCTGAAGTTACCCATCTGGGCTTCTCCCGGTTTTTGCGAATTTCATGTTGTGGATTAATCTTGCGGTATCCATGACGGATTCAATGGCACTCATTTATTTGTGGAAACCCTCGGGGAACGCTGAGGTGTCTTACACGAGGGTGTGATGATGGGGATCTGGTTACCGGCCAAATGGAAAGGTATGACTTTCTGGAAGTATCGTTTTTGGGAGGAGGGCAGTTGCAAATTACTATAGCTGAAATCTACATTTACTACATATTATCTACATATTCAATCAAAATTACGTATCTTTTCAATTTCTTTTAATTCAACACCAATCGATGTCCCAGGAAGTCTACAAGAAATTCTTTACAGCCAGAGCCAAAGGTCGCCAAGAAAAATGTAACGGGTCTGGTACGAAACTTTTTCCGAGCGCTCCGTCATTTTGGTATAACTTGTAAAAAAATTCTGTCCGCGTATCAGATGAAAAATTTCATATCAAAGAATTAACAATATCGGATTGCGTTTTTGGTGGAAGCGTGGGAGTGACAGGTATGTGGTAAGTGCGGAGTTAATGCATGCGAGGACGTGAGCTAATTTGGTCATCAAAGTGAGTTGCGGATGATTTTCCGTCAATTTGTCGGAGAACGCTTTGGGCACGGAGAACACTGTGTTTTCGTTGTACGTCGTGAGCCAAGCGTGTAAAACCTCGGGTGCTGATGTCGGGTAGAGCGTGACCTCAAAGCGAAAAATATTCATTACCATCCGGCCTAGTAATTACTGGGCGACGGTTTAGGATAGCTCATTTGTTCTCAACTGTACCTCTTTGAAAAAATAGTGGAATAGTGGGAGGAAAAAGGAAGGAGTCTATCAAATAAGAGATAACATGTTCTCTCGGGCTAAAAACAATATCATAAATAGTGATTAATTAAAATCATTTGGACATGAGGATTGGGTAAAAAAATCACCAACTCCGCTGATTTTGCATAAATATTTACAAGCATAACGTATTGGCATTTATTTTACAAGTTTCCAGGTAATGAAACGATTAGTCATCACTACCTAAAAACATTCATCCTCAAATATCTCAACTACTTTTATATCTCTTATCACACATTGTTCTTCCCACTTGAAATTCCACCGTTTCACAACATAATTTGATAAACCTTGACAATTTATTCCGATTGACAGTGAAATTAGAAAAGTGAAAATCGAAACAAGAAACCTTCACATAACTATTCACTCAGACGTTTAGTATTATTGCTCTCCGGGCTTTCCAATCACTGTCCGATGGAGCGATCGATGTTGAACGTCCAAACAAGGTCCGAGGAACCTCTCGTGCTTGCACAGAGGGATCACGGACGTTGATTTCGAGTGAGTAATCAGGTAGTAAACAGGGAACAGCCTCTGGATTGCCGGGTGTAACGGGCAGAAAGCCAGGTACCAGATGTCTGTCTTTTGTCAATTTGACAAACTCCACGGGACTAGGATTGACGGCAATCTCCCATGATGCAGAAACCACTTGACCTCTCGAATTGCACAATTCCCCGCAAATTTCATTTGCACGCCCTGGAATTAGCTCACACAGCACAGATGCATCCCCTCGTGTTTTTGCACACATTTTTTGCTTACCTCCCGCTGAAGTTATGAGAAATTGTCCAGGTGGATGAAGACTTCAGTTGTCACGAAGTCGAGACCTTTCGCATGTGAATCAAACAGTTGCACTCAACTCATCGTTGGTGAACTTGTTGAGCGACTTTTTACATTATTATGATCTACGGAGGGCGCTACGCGTGCGGATGTGCGTGTGCGTGTGCGTGGGCGACGTGTGCTGATAATGAGAGACCTGTGGAGGTAGGTGTGGATGAGGTAACGGCGTTGGGTGCTGATACAGGTGTTGTCAGGTGATGGCCAAAGAAAGTTGGACCAGTGGGTGGATAAGCCCCTGGATGATGATAATACCCAGGAGGTGGAGGTGGCGGTGGGGGTGGATGATGTACGTGACTGTGAGGATGTTGATGTGGGTGATGAGCGTGTGGATGGCTGTGAGGATGCGTAGCGAAGAGGAAGGCTGGTCCGTAGGGTGAGGGATGAGGTGGTGTTGTCGGCACTGTTGGACTGTTCACATCCAAGCCAGGGTTCTGCTTCTTCCACTTGGTCCTGCGATTCTGGAACCATATCTTCACTTGGGTCTCCGTCAGGGATAGGGACAGTGCTAGGTTCAGTCGTTCGCAGACTGACAGGTACCTCGTTGTCTTGAACTTGTTCTCCAGTGCTACCAACTGCTCATAGGTAAATGCTGTTCGTGCTCTCCTCGGCTTGCCACCAGTGTTCCCCGAATTTCCCGAGCCACCTCCACCATTCTGCGAGCTCTGCCCACAGGATTGGCCCTGGCCATTGCTGGAGGACGTCGACGATGACGAACGCTTTTTGCTACTCGCCGAGCCATTCGACGTGGTATCCCTAGCCGCGATCGGTGTCTCACGTCCCTGATCAACTTGCATGTCGACATCGTCATCATCCTCGTCATCCTCATCCGCCTCTTCCTCCATATCCTCCACCTGATCCTGCACGTCGTCCTCCTGACCACTCCCACTGGCGAATTCTCCTCTCGAGTCACTATCTGTCAACACAATAGATAAAAACGTTAGAACCAAATCAATTAATCCATTCCTCCTCAACTTGCAAAGCTGCATCATGCAAGCGTTCCACGACAATTTTTTTTTTAAATCCCGACTGAAAAATAATGGTGTGGCACGGGGGCAGTTGCGCTGGAGTGAGTTTGACCGAAATAGACGAAAAGTAGAGCGTTGTTCTGGACGAAGAGCCGGCGGCTAGCCGACCAACCGACTGCTCAGTCCACACACTCTCCAATCTACTCACTCTCTAATTCTGGTGTCTCCCTCTCTCTCTCTCACTCACTCGTTTTTCGGCCAATCGTTTGGCTCAATGAGAGTGAGGAGATTGGAGATTCAATCAGCGCGCAGATGTCCCGGGGACAGATATTCCCTGGCTCTGAATCGTGCCAGGGTTTGGTGGGGTGGTGGATAGTCCAAAGCGACATTCGGGACGATGGATTGTGCGACAGACAGAGTGAGATGAATGTACTGGGTATGGGACCATGGGTTTCAATGTGCGATAGCAAGGGAGACAGAGAGAAAATCCGAATTGGCGCGGCTCGTGGCCCATAGTCCCTGGCTCTGGCATGTGCATCCTGAAGAGGAGTGTGAGGGGATACGGCTGGGAGTCCGTAGGGGGCGACGGATCGAGAAGGTTTACCCCGTAATGGGATTTGTATCTCGTTAACGCGCGATCGTTCTTGCAGGACCCCATGATATTCTATATACGTAATTCTAACTCACTCGCTCTTCTCCGTAATTCCTCTGGATTCTTCTTTTTACCACGATTTTTCTCCTCGCGAATCAGTGGCTCTCGGGGCGGGTTATACTGTATATCGGTTTTCACGTATCCCACACTGGTGGATAGAATAAATATAAGGGAGTAAAGTCGGTTGTGAGAAAAAATAAAAATGAAGCTGACTGTGTGGGGGAGTGGGGTGTAATTGATTCGTATCGGTCGGTGCGCCTTTTGTCGTAATTCGTACGCGTAATTCACGGGTGTTGGGTAAGGTCTATTTCACGCGATTTCCGAGAAACCTGTGAATATTTGAGGGTGGAGGGAGATGTTTTCTTCCTTTTTGGGATTAAATGGAGAGATAAAATAGAGATATATAAACAATTTATGGTTGTAATCGTTTAAAAGGCTCTTCGATTAAATGAAAGAGGAATGAAATATGTTTTTGGTGCTACTTTTCCAAAGGGATCGTTAGCATTGTCACTCAAAAATGTCCCTGGAGAGGAAGAGAAAGGAAAATTCACGGAATATTCTCTTCAGTTTTCTGGATGTCTGGAATGGCAGTCACGCGAGGAAAAGCTTCGATGTGGAGCACTGGCCGTGATATGAGCTTTTTACGGGTCCTCTAAATTTAAGGACACACCCGGGACTATCTCTCTGACCCTAGAACGCCTTCTATCCCATCCCATTTTTCTCTGCACGCGCAAATCGTTCGCTCGTGTCACAGAAGCGATTTGTCTTCCTCGTAAACGCCACAAGACGTGATTTGAGGGTCATAATGCGACGCGACGAAAACCATTTATTGAATGCTGTTATATTTCAGGCCAATGTGTCAATTAGAACAATAATTAATTCTATTTAAGTATTTTCGAAATACTTTTCTGTAGAGATTTTTTAACTGTTTTACTGTTCAACATTCTTCGTCATTTGCGTAATCCACGGTTAGGTATTTTATAAAGAGATGCATGAAAATTTGGTTTCCGCCTTGACTAACTTTAATACAAAAAATATTCAGGACATGGAAGTTTCGACCCCGGTTTCGTTAATTAAAAAAATACGAATAAAATCTAGCACCAAATAGAGGTTAATCATTACGGCAAAAAAACCTGACCTGGAATATCCATTCCTTTGATGTGCTCGCCTTCAAATAATTCTTTTCTAATTCATAAAATCATTTTAATTGGCCTCACTAATGAATTGTCCCCGACAAGGTGAGGTGAAACACACAAACAAAAAAATTAGCCGGGTAAATTAGCAAGAAAGCCGAAGACATAATTGATTTCCTCTCATCGACTCGCTTCACCTTTTTTCCCCCCCATTCCAGGCGCTCAACCCCCGGGTTTCCCGGGTTGGGGTCGTCGACGGTAATTAGAGATTTTTATTGCTTCAGTATATGTGTAAGATGGAGGGGCTGAAGCGAAAAACGTTGGTTAAAGCTTCTTTTTTTTTTCTCTCTCTCACTTCCTCGGTTCTTTTCGTCCGCCCCCTGGAAAGCGAAACGGCGGTTTTCGCGCGTTCGGCAAATCCGAGTCCAATCGACGTTTGTGCAGAAGAGAGGGCCGTCTCAGCTGGTTGGGAAGGGATGTGGAGAGGGTCGATTGACTGAGAGAGAAAGACCTGGAGGAAACGTAGAGTGTGTGCGCGAGGGTGTCATTGTGATGCAGAAGAGCCAATTTTCTGGGCGGCTTGGCGCGATGCGACGCGATGCTGCGCGATTATCATAACAACCGACGATATTATTCCCTCGGCCGTAACTCCCGGGGGGGGATGGAAATGGGGGTGACAGGAGAGGGATAACTTTGGCAGCAAGCGAGAAGTGTGTGGATCGGATAAAAAAGGGAAAATAAGTGGAAATGGATTTGTTCGGGCGTCACTACCCCAGAATGTAGTTTTAATGAGGAGAGCGACAACACATCGACCAGACACAAAAGATTGATGATCAAATCGATTTGTAATCTTCAGCTCTCATCCTCCGCAATGACCAATCAATCTTCCGGATTTTCGGGGGAAGGAATTCTATATCTCCTGTGGGGGGAAAATACATATTCCCCTAATTTGGGAATTTCTTGTCATTTTCATTCAATTCAAATTGCGGGAGAGAAGATTAGGTTTAAATATTACATTTGATAATTATTAATTTAATTAGAAATATTGTCTTAGTGCAGCTATTTGGTACTGGTGGCAAACATTTGGGGGGGAAGTGGGTGGCGGGGGAGGGGGATATTAATACTGTTGGAGGGAGAACATGAAAATACATTCACATGAAATTATTTTATGTAGATTCATGTTTTTGGGGGGTTATTAATGTCTCAGGCAATGGAGGGGTGATTTTGAAAAGGGTTTGATTGAAATTTGAAGAGTATATTTCGAGTGACTCCTCGATGTCCCGTACCGGAATAGGGCCGATGATGATGCCGAAGCTCAAAGACTGGTTAACGCAGATTAGCAGAGCAATTTGTCACGCTCCGACAGTTTACCCCCATCTCACCCCCTTTCCACCGACCTCGGTATTCCCCACCACCATTATTTCTCCTCTTCAGGTTTAGCCACGCGCACACCGCGTTGAGTCCTCCGGCCCTCTCATCATTCTGTCTCGCGTCGACGAAATATTATACCGACTAAATTATTTAAATATTTCTTTGAAGTATTTTTGAACCACAAATATCACATTGTAACTCTCCGGAATTGATTGAGCACTTATTCCGGACAATGAACTTGAAATTATGCTTCCAAGTACACGGAATTAAATATTCAAAAAAAAAAATCCTCATTAATCCTTTCCGCAATTCGAAAAATTGTCGTCTAATTTATCAGTGGATCAGAATCAAAGTGGAAGTAATTGGTCAATAATAATCATTTTCATTGATACGCAATAAAAATCTCCTTTACTCGATCAATGAATGGGAATTAATGACTCAATCATCAACTGATTGACTGTACGGTAAAAAAAGCACTAAAAAATATTCACCCGACTGTTCTCCAATTTCTACCCATTTTTTATTTCTTCATGACATATTTCGCGTTGGTATTCAGCATGAAAAAAATATCCGGATTGGTGAATTTCACGGTTATATTCTGCGTGTTAAATAATGGCAGTAAAACGAGCGTATCTGCCCTCTATTTCGCCCATTTTTTTTATTCAACTCGTCTAGTCGATCTCACGAACGGGTCGTTAATCTTCGGGAATCGATTCATTGTATTTTTATGATGCTCACACCATCCCCTTCCCTCACCCACAAACGATACTGATATTAGGGTGCTTGCCCCCCTCTCGACCCTATATTTTCACGGATTTCATTCCACACGAATAACTGTGCGCTCGTTCTCTTTCTCACACCGCAAAACCACAGAAAAAAAAAAACAACCGGCAAACGAATGGATGTGAGAGCTCTCTTTCTGAAACCATAGTTCTAAACTTAGTAACAAGAATGACGACGCTGACGACCGCAGTTGTGGAGCCCCGGGTTGGAGTGAAATAATTAGTAAACGGCCTGAGTGTTATTTCCCCAACCGTCGGACCACTGCAAAAACTATTGAGACATTTGTGGAATCACACGAGGTCATTCAGAGCGAGTTAATTGAGAATAAACGGTTAGAGGCATGTGCGAGCTCTCGATGATGTCATTAAAAAATCATTCGCCTGATTCTATCGCTAATTAAGCGATGATAAATCATACAGCATTAACAAAAAAAAATCCCGGCAATATGTATCATCATTACGGATTAATTAAGAGTTCACAGTGAATTTATTAGGACAACCCATAAGTCACTAAAAATTGACTCGTTGAAAAACAAATTAAATTAAACGTCGCTGAATCATTATCTTGACATTATTTTTGTGAAAAGTGGATTCTCGCCGTCAAGTCACTTGATTTCTGGGCGATGATAATTATTGAGACATGATAAATAAATAATGAACAGGAGTGAGTAAAAATTACCTTCATGAAGACTACCAGTTCTCCTCCTCCTTCTCCTGTGCTGAATCCTATCATGAATAACCCGTCCGCCGGTGAACTTATTAGGATCGAGAATATTTTCAACGGAAAATGCAAGCCCCCTCTTGCTCCCCGTAACAGCACCGGACGTATTACTGATACAATTACCCCCATTATTACTCCTCGACAAGTGCCCCCCCACATTGCAAATGGACGGCGCCATGGAACCAGTTGCATGTCCACCCATGAAGCCCCCACCGGCCGTCGCTGAATTACCAATAACACTAGCACCATTAACAAGATCACCATGAATTCCCCCAGCAGTCTGTAAACACGCGAGTGCATGAACATTGACAGTGCGACTGACAAAAGGATGATACTGATCGGTTGAGCTCCTGGAGGAGGCAGTGAGGTCAACCGGACTGCTTGGATTACTATCAGGTTCACGACAGACATCGACCTCGATCTCCTCATCGTCCGGATAGTTGCCATTCTGTTCACCATGATCATCCTCATCATCCCCATTCTCACCCCTTCCAATTCTCGTACTTCCATTACGATTCACCACATCCTCAACATTATCCAAATCACCATCCTCATCGTCCTCCGACTCGTCATCCTCACTCCTCTCATTAACCGAAACACTCTCCTCACAGTGTTTATCCCTGACCCCCTCGATATCCTCATCCATCACACCAATTGTCTCGTCAATCGGTGTGGCAGCAGCAACACCAGACGAACGCATTTGTTGTTTATCGTAACTCACAAATGTCTCACCAGTTCTCACGTGCAACAACACACGTCTCCTCTCCTGATGTGGCACCACCGCCCGCAGATTCACTTCCTCACCCAAACACGCTACCGGTCCTATTTCAGCGAGGGGTGACAGTGTCCTACCCTCCTGCATCCTCCACATCACTTACCCCACTTCCCTCCACCCTCCCCCCCTCTCTCCCCAACCCTCCAGCCGCCAAGAATAACACTTGGTACTGTTTGTTATCTTTGGCTGCTGTTTTGACTCACATCCGGCCGATCCAATAACACAATCACCGATGCTGACGAAACAATTACGAAAACAATACACTAATCACACAACTATCTCTCCACTGGTTACATTCGTGGACACAAATACTTCCAGTTTCCTCCAGCGGCAAGTAAATAAAGTTGCCAATAATGATTCCTTATTGCCGTCACATGTGACAATGACACTGATAAACAAATCCAAATCACAAACAAAATCCACTGGAGTATATTTCATCCACTCTTTAGCTCAACTGATTTGTGTCTTTGCATCAAGACACCGCGATTCCTCGAATTGTATAGACTAGCATGATACTACCGAAGATACAGCCATACGAGATATAAACGTCAGTATTATTAGACACCCGAGATACTCTCCCCGTGGCTATCTACGATACGTTTGAGCATGGGGTTTGTCCAACAAACAGAGGAGGGAGAAGCCGACGGAGAGGGTTCGTCGGATCTCGAGAATTGTGGGCGGAGTTGGTAGTTGTGGCGGAGCCTCTGTTACCGAGGGAAAAGCACGTTAAACGTTCGACCAATGGCTGACTCCCACTTGCCCCCTCGTCTCACCCTCCCACCCATCCCCTCGGCAAAGAGCATTTCAACACAGTCAAAGCAACCACCTCTCCAACACACTCGTGAAATAGCTGTTTGCATCGGTTAAGGGAGAGAGGAAAATACCGGGTAAATGCGAAGGGATGACGAGACAGAGGTGCGCCCGCGCACTTCCCTCGCACACACGTTTTCCTCCGAACCTATTACCCAACAACACAACGAAATGCTTAATACCTCTTCCACTTCCGGTGATGAAGCGGGGGAGGAGGAGGAGGAAGTGGAGGAAGTGGAGGATGTGGAAGATGTGAAAGATGTGGAGGAAAAAGGGAGTAACCTCGTGGAGTTTGTACGCACACGAGCTACTCCATGTGTACAAATACAACCGGGCGAGGTTTAAAATCGCACTACATACATAACATCTCATACCTACTCCCCCGCCCTATCCACCACCACCCACCACCCACCGATTTTCTCGAGACGTGTGTGGGATACACTGGAGTGTGTACACAAAATTCCCTTTCACAGTCCCTCTCATCATCATCACCCTCCATCCACCAACCGGAGTCACTCTCTCTCTCTCTCTCTTACGTTACCAGCGATTGGACTTCGGCTAAAGTGGTTTGTCTTTGATTTAGCCAACGTGCCGTTACCACCACCCTATCATCCCTCCATCGTTCTCCCACCTTTGAGTTGGTGTACTACCATGGGAATAACCCAACCGATTTTGTGACGTACACGAAATTTAACGGAGACGAGATTTTACCGATAAGTTGCGCTCCATTGTGAATGTCTATATACGACGAAAATCTCGTGGTTACTCTATTGCTTGGCAAAGTGAGGAGGGGCTCGGATACCAGCACATTTTACTCTCAACTCTGTGGATATTGTTTACCTCACCATTTAGGTAATTGCCGGGCAACCAGCTCGTTGATGATGAAGGGCAGGAGGCGGGAGGCATTATCTCGGTGGGATTAAATCAAACAGTGTTTAATATCAATTATCTTGGTTCGATTATGATGCTTTCGGGGGATGCAAGGGGTTTCGCATTTTCGGCAGAATCAGAGGGCGGCTTTTGTTATCCATTTGCTTCTATTTGTTCGGTACACAGACTGAAATCCTTGAATTGCTTCAAATCTAAACAGAAATAACGACAGCTTTTGACTGTTGAATACTTCGGATTTTCTGATTGAAAAAATCATGAAAAATGTGACTGGTAAATTAATTTTTTCATTCTTATTATATTGTTCCTAATTATTACTTTTGCTGGTATGTCGGAAGTCGTGGAAATTCCGCGGAAATTCTTCAACACTGTAAAGAAATCCTCTCAAGTGAACGGGAATGAATGCACGAGTTTAACTACAATTAAGGGATGCCGTTTAATTGTTTGAGTTGTGGATTTTACTTTGGGATTTATCTTCAATTTTTGGGAAAGTTTGCAGCGCAGGGTAGATATATTTTATCCAGAAATTGATAGGTACAGGTGTTCAAATTAACGTTTGGCTTGAATATTAGAATTTTGAGTGATTCACCGTATTAAACGCTCTGAGATTTAAACTAATGAGGTAATTATATAATAACTTGGGAGAGAAAGGGGGAGCCCTGTTGGCAACAGCTACGGAAATCCTTCTCACACTAACTCCACAATTTATTCTCACTCATTGTGTCCCACTTTGCGCCTTCTTGTTCGCCAATTTTGAAACGTTTAAACTTTGGAATTTCAAATGCTACATTAATTTGACTATGGAGAAGGTTAAATATGACTATTTCCTGGTAGAAATAAAAAAAACGCTATGAATGTTAATCCTGATTACTATTCCGGTTAATTTCAGCGCTTCAAGTCTAATGAATAAACTAAATATAATTTTTATTTTCCATTATAATTATAAAATTTTTCCATAAAAATTTCCAATCTCGCATTTCTCAATTATTCACTAAGTAATAATATTTCAATTTTAATAATCCACTAAACGGTAGTTTATATAATAAACTAAAAATATTATAATAATAATTTTGATTTGGTAACTCCCAAAGGATTTAAATTGGCAACAAAAATATTTACGTCACGTGTCATAATTCAGCCCTAAATTTTCATTCTCAAAAGGTGAATCGCGTGTACCAATTTTGGACAATAAGCCCTCTGGCCCCTCCCCCTCCCCCACCGGGGGGCATTTATTTTTCGCCTCATTACACTCTAAGCGACGCCGTGTGCCCGCGTGCGCATACACCGTGCCCCATCTGTTATATGAACTACTTCTCGGTTGTGCTCTCTCTCGCGTGCTAACTCCATTTCCATCCTATAGATTCATGTACCCCCCCGTTCACCCCCCCTCACCACCCACCACCCCCCTGGAATCTCTATCCTTGCGTATACCCGTTGGATTATCTAATCGATAGACCATTTAATTGGAGTTTAGTCGACGTGAACAGCCAAATAACCGCGGGTTTATTAAACTTTTAACGTATCTCGTTTGAAAATGAAACAGAGTGCACCCCACTGTGTTCACTGTTTTTTTATGTATCGGTTGGCCCAAACAAACACGCAACTGTGCGGCAATCATTCATCAATTATCAGCGATATAAAGTCAACAAAAAAAAAATCGAGTGAATGTGGTCGATCGTGTTATTTATTCCATATTGATGAAAATTTTTATTACGCACGAGTGGAAAAAATAATTTACTCGTTGTCGAGATTTATTTTTTTTTTTCGTTAGGTAATATATCAATCAATGGCGCTAATTAAAGAAATTCAATTAAACTCCTGCAATTAATTTTTAAGCAGATTGGATGGGATGTTTGAAGAGGGGGTGAGTTTGGGGATCCGACCAACAAATTTTGATTAATATTTAGGGATGATGTGAAATCGGAGAACACATCAAATTAGCGTTAATCTAATGGTTGAATATTCCATAGTTTGTTAATTATTCCAAAGCCTCTACTGCCTGAATTTCAGTTCAATCATTTCACAATAATGAATAATCAGGACATTATAGATAAAAATTGAATTATTAAATTAACTAAGAAAATATGCGAGGTCTTCTATCGTGAATTTATAATATTTCCAAAGGGAAAAATACAACTTTATTAATTATAGGGAATCCTTGAGGTAAAGATCTGAAAGAAAAATTGATAAACATCCATGGATAGCCTTACGAGAATGAAAATCCGAGCAAACGAGCATCAAAAACAGGTGAACCCCCAACCCGGCGGACACAAAGATTCAGCAATGAGGGATTATACCCTGAGTCCAGCATAACCTGTCCGTACTTCACGGTTCAACGACTTGAACGTAAGATAGAAGGGCACATGACCGAAAGAGGGGTCCTAATAGTTGTCGACCAATGCATTACAATAGTGGATAAGAGGGGGAAAGGGTGGGTGGGTGTGATTGGGGTGGGTGAAAGGAGGGATGAGAGTGTACCAGCCGTGACCAATTTGCGCCCGTTTCTCCACTCGCTCGAGTTTCTCCATTCCATGGGATCAGAAAACCCATGGTTGAACTAGCCCGATCCTTCCCCATCCTCTCCATCACCTGACTCCATCTCCATCTATGTTTTCCGATGGAGAAGGCCAAAGGATATTTGTTAACCTGAAGTATTGCGTTATGTCACTCTCTCTCTAGCTCTCAATGATATCAACGGTCACCCTCGGGTGTTTCATGGCTATCTGAACGCGTACACCTATTCCGTGGGTACGATAATTGGCCAATTAAAACGCGCAGCGGCTGTCTCGCTCGAGTTACCTGCCATCCGATAATTATACGGTATCGTCGGTGGTTCGCCCACGTATCCACGCGACGAGAAACGATATGGATGGAAGAGAAACCGAGGATGAGGATCAAGGTGGGTGGGGGTCTGAGGGAAATGGAGATAGGTGGAAAAAAGTGGCCACCGTGTAGGAGGGCGCGGCGAGGGGATGGCTGGGGACCGCGCCCGCGTCGAATCGACTATTCCGATTACGCGACTTCCATCTCTCCATGGGTAGAAATTCTCCAGCCATTTTCACTTCCATAATTTTCGGCGAATCAATTGGCGATGGATCTAGCTCGTTGTCTGACGTACGACAGGTTTCGAGTTCAGGTCCTGGGTGGAATGTAATGGACTCCAACCATTTAAAGTCCTAATATAAAAAAACAAAAAAAAATTATTTTTCAAAAATAATTGGAATTAAGTAGAATTTTTATCTTGAAAGTAACACAGTCGGTAAATTCGTTGCCTCAACTGCGGTAGGTTTCATGTTTAAGTCCCAATCCGAGGGCGTCATGAGGTCTGACTATTGAAAGTTCCGACCATTTGTTGCTGTACACTGAGGAGGTCATACCTGCCTTTCACTGTCAATGAA